ATACACGTGGAGATGTCGTTGAAATCGTTCCCCGATCAAAAAACTGCGCATCGTCTAGAGAGTGGCACGACTGTCAACGACATCGTATATTATTGTAATAATGACATCGCCCTATCAGAACGATTCATTATGATGTTTGCATATTTTTTGATTATTGACATATAAGGACACTAAAGCTCCAGAGATTATTTTTGGTGAATACTATTTAAAGGAAGTACCTGAAAATATTTTGATTCCTTCTCCAAAATGATGTAATGGGAACATCTTGCACCTGAATGGAAGTGATGGAAGGCAGAGGGAAGGTGACCGATCCCTATTGAATAGGCCATGCTGAACGGTAATGAACTTTGGTGAGGCTGATAGTTTTGGATAGCTAATGATGGGTGTGTGAAAAGCTCCGCTGGTAGCGAATAGCCTTCAGAGTAGGCTTCTACACACCCCGTCATACTTGGTACCGCTTTCAGTTGGAACCCTCCCCAGTGAGATGTCTGATTTCGGCAGTAAAGCTGAAAGGAAACCTTTCTCAATTTTACTGATCTTATTACCGTGATTTTCACTACCGCGGAGCCCTCATCTAGAAATTGGAGGAATCCCTTGGTGTAGGCATCACTTGGGTTATTCATGTGTACATGTTGATGGCAGAACTCCTAGAGCAGAAAATATGATTTCAGAGGATTTCTGGCGACATTACTTCGTGACTGTCCCGCCTTTGGTATCTACTTTGCCTCGTACGAGTACATGGCACGGCAAATGAGTAAAGACGGTCAGATGGAATCACTGACTGGTCCTCAACTGCTCCTGGCTGGAGGTAAGTATCCTTCTAAACATATCTTTCCTTGTACCACATAGGTGGTCACACTGTTGGCGAGTTGCCAAACAGCTGACGATACATTTCAGTCTGGCGCAGTATACTTATGGAACTATTGTTACAGGTGGCGCCGGTATGCTGTCGTGGCTATTCAACTATCCAACGGATGTCATAAAAACTCGCTTTCAAGCTGCAAATTATTCCAGCTACATGCATTGTATACGGAGTACATATCGAGAGGGCGGATTACGGGTCTTCTTCACCGGTCTCGGCTCCACTTTATTACGGTAGGGATTCTGACACTTCTACGTCAGTCATATTTGTTTTTCTTTGTCCTAGAAATAATGCAGCTCCAACCCAGGAAGTGTAGAATGGTAATTGGGAGCTTGAGGTCGAAATTTGGGACAATATGCCAAAATTCGGGTAAATTAGGAGAACTGGGTAGGCCATTCGTTTGTGACTTTTTACAAACCGAAGAAGGGTGGGCGGATTAGGACTTTCCAGTGAAGAAAGATTCAAAGTATTACAAAAATTCAGTTAATTTTACGTTACGAGGTCTTTGAGCATTAGTCGAATCCGTTTGGGGATGCGCCATGCACTTTGAATGCCTGTCACTCAGCTATTTTCCTTTCAGAGCCTTCCCATCAAATGCTGCCACCTTTTTCACTGTCGAATGGACGTATCGTCTACTGCTTGATTTCCATTTAGTCGAAGTTGGATCACCTGCTGAACATCGTCTGCAGGTAGATGAACACTCCGTTGCAGAACGCCTACGTCGCGTTTTGCCACTTGCATGCTTACGATCAGTTTATGCAAGTGACGTTACCGATGATTCGACTAACCCTTCTAATGGGTCACAGCAGTTTCTACTTTTACTTGACTAACGACTACCATCACTATCATTTTCATGTAAGTAGATCGATTATCGATCTGTCTCTCTAATTCGTTGGTTAGTCTTAGTTCATAGTGAATTAGAAGTGGTGTCATCCAAAAGATGTATATTTGCTTTACTACTGAAATAACCTAATTTTTAAATTTTTAAGTTTTTTTTTCGATAGTAATGGGGTCCCTTACCAATTCCTTCTCCTTTTTGCTTTTAAATGTTTCCCTTTCGNGGGGGGGGGGGGGGGGCTCATTCGAAGATTTTGAAAGTATTTTTTCAAAATGTTGATTTGTTTTTATAGCATATTATTCAAAAGGCGATCAAAATCATCTGTGGGTGGCTTTATATGTGGATTGTTATGAGTGTTTATTTTAGCATTTACAGATTCACAAGCGTCATATCACCCTATCCGATTTCTGGCATGCCAATAGCATCCTACTGTTGCCTGAGGCCGGCTCAACGTCCATCGATCCTATGCTCCATGGATGTCGTTTTCTGTAGAATACATATTTTTGTTGTGTTTATTTTCTCGACACCCATCTGATGGCTAGCAATTAAGCCATCGGTGTGGGTAACATGTCACTCGGGTCGTATTCAGGTGATCAGTGATACAACTGCTCATATTTCACTATGTGATCATTGTATTTGTATATTATTCTGATTTTCAAATGTACACTAAAGTGTCGTATAAATATATAAAATCCTTGATGCTGTGTCTTCTTGGGATAAATATATAAAATCCTTGATGCTGTGCCTTCTTGGGATAAAAAGGATCAGTAGCTTACAGAAAATTTTAGGACGGATTTTCTTCCAAGAAAACTCTACGTCATCGTCTACTGACGGCTTAGCAGAAGGCACAAAAACTCTTTCAAAACCGCTTAGAAGACAGTAAATAACTCAATGTTCAGTGAAATGAGGCGTGCCATTCCTACCTCCATTCGATGCAAGGTGTTCCAAAATACTCGAACATCGATCGCCCAATTGGACAAACCAAACGGGAGATGGGAGCCGTCCGGGTGAAGGTGAATGGGGAGAGCTTGGCCTCGAACATTGCCGTAATAACCCTCAAGCTCCGCCCAACTCATTTCCTATTACGGTGCGAGGTGATTCCTTGGTTATTTGCTCCTGAAGGATACGCTCAGAAACAAAAATTCAGTGTGGGAACCCGGTTAGGATGATTGGGTTGTGGGTATTCAATCGCTATTAAATAAAATATGTTCTCCGTAGAGTTCTGTGTCACTAGCGTTTTATTTCATCACAAGGACACTGTCGAAACGGAGTCACCTATCCGTTACCTTCGGGGGATTGGTTCTACCCGCTTTCCATCGAGGCATTCACTTACAGAATAGACTTTTGCTGATTTACCATTTGATGGATTATTATTAACTCAAAAGTTACCCAAAACGAAAAGGTCATCGGTTGGAATGTGGATGTTTTTCCATCAGTTCATCCATCACCGTCGGCCTGCCAACCTTGGCTGCACCCAAGTACCAAGACTATTACTCCAGTTTCTGCAGTGGATGATTTCGCCTTGGTAAGGATCGAACTCGCTTCCTTTTTGAGTGCAAACAGAGCCTAACACTCTCGACCCCGCGGCTGTCCCTGCCTATCTTACCTAACCTAATGTTCTGACTGCTCAAAAGTCAAGTTGTCCCATAGGGTATGGTAGGCAAACGCTTCTCTTATAAGTAATTGCAGCAAAAATTCATGTTCATTAGCCAATTTTCATTCCATATGTGATTTATTTCATTCCTTCATATCACTTAGCGGTAGCTGCTGACTTTTCTTCATGTTTTGCATGTTCTGTACCTTCTCTCAATACGAAAGCGACATCAAATTGTGTAGTGACATCACGATAGTTCACTGGAGGAACAGCATACAAGTTTGGTAACCATCCTTTTCGTCCCTAAAATAATGATTTTTAACTTTTGGAACTGCCGAAGCTTCGGAGCAGGGAAGAAGACNNAGTTTTGGGGCCTGGGTCTTACAGTGAAGCCAGCTTCGAGGGTGGCTTGCTCCAAGACCACCTATTCGAGCCTGGACTCGCAGCTCGATTACTGTATGAACTGGGTTCCCGAAGCGAATCCTCGTTTTTGTCACTACAAAGACGAAAGAGCTGGTCAATTGACTAAGAAACATTCGAATTCAGTGGCTCAGCAAGATGCAGCCGGTAGTTGTGGCCATAAAGATGGTTAGGTATGAATCGTACCTCTACACGCTCCATTATCAATAAGCTTCCATGCGGTATTTTTTTAGGAGCAACAGCTAGCTCAGAATCATTTGACAGTCGCATTTCCCTTATAAATGTTCCAGCAGCAATATCAACGGTATGAGCGTGGGCAACAATCTGGAAGAAAGGCAAAAGATTTTGTGTAAGTGATTATGATAAAAAGGTACAACAGAAGTGACTTTAGGGAGCTGAAATGAAAGGAGGGAAACTTCGCGTTTGCCTATGCCCCTACCGCTCCTGAACAGAGATGGATCAAGTTGAACTCGCCGAGGTTGGAGTGTTGGAGTCAATATTTCAACTTTTCAGTAGGCATTTCTGTTATAAGGTGAACTTCATAGGAGTCAAGCTTGACAAAGAACAGACATTGGAAGTTAGGGAGAAATTTAGTAGAAGAGTCTGAGACTTTGAAGCGATCTGAAAGCTCTAATCGAGGGCTTTAGAATGAAGGTGCTAATTCTTCTAATATTTGAGAAATCAAAGAGGACATTCTGTCATTTTTGAGTCCTACCGTCCACGTTTGGCATCAGTCAGAAGACCCTGCGGCGTGCCGCTCTTTGCGCATCCTCCACGTACCCAGGACTCCCAGAAAAGAAGAGGGATGGGCGATGGAAGCACAGAACACGCGGTTCAGGTTGATGGACTGACATTTGAGGCAGCTAACAGAGAAACGCTTGGGTCATAGCAATGAGTAGCCTCGGTTGGTAGGCTCGACTTCACTACCACTTGCTAGAACACTATACAGTTAAATTGCTAGTTGTAAGTTAAGGCAATAAAGTAGCGAAAGAGGCGAGAGGACGCTAGATTTGGTAAATCAAATAGTTATATAAAAAGTAAAAAAATGAAGGCTGAACTAGGCTCACCAGTATAATTTGGTCTCTTTTTTTATTACTAACTTCATGTAGTTTAGAGATACGAATTAGTGAATGACGAACACGTGTATTAAAATCTTCGTTTGTTTCGAATTTACAGGCCATCAACTGCAAAATTCGGTTATTTTCAAGTATTTCTCCACTTTTTCGGATTCTCTTTGTCTATCTGTCTGTCATTCTGTCTGTTTGCCTGTCTATCTTCTACAATAAATTATGCGATAAAGTAATCTATTCCTCAAAAAATTATTTATTATCTGATGGTATTAATTTTCGTCATTCGAATTTTGATGAAAATCGTTAGCTAATCAATTCATAAAGTCTATAAGTAGTAAAAATGTTTAATTTCGCTGCTGTAGTCATAGTACTGTACGAAGCATTTCAACTAATCCTAGAAGAACTCACATTTTCTAATTTAGTATGAGGTACGTAATTTTCATCAACACCGAATCGAGCTCGTTGGTCAGAGTTTGCAAATTTAGGCAGGCCCAACGGATAATTCGAGAAGCATTCAAACAATCCAGGCTCTACTCTGAAACAGTTCCATTGAGTTCTCAGTACCGAGCGAGCAGACAGACAGACAGGAAGACGGACAGACAGGCAAACAGACAGACAGGCAGACAGAAAGACAGAAAGACAGACAGGCAGAAGACAGACAGACAGACAGAAAGACGGACAGACAGGCAAACAGAGAGACAGGCAGTCAGGTAGGCAGACGAATAGACAGACAAAGAAACAGCCAGACAGGTAGACTGACTGATAGAATGACTGGCAGACAGACGAGAGTGCTTATGTATTTAGTAAGGATTAACAGAAATGGAATTCATAAAAGTCCAGGCTAGTCCAGGTAAATATCCAGGCTTGCAGGAAATCGGGCCACAAACCTTATTAAAGCTTTGGTTCCGCTAACTTGTTTGACAGCGTGAGCCGTCTGAAGACACCTCAGGGCTGGTGTACAGTAGATAATATCTGAAATTCTTGTTCAACATAGAAATTCGTTCTTTAGTTCAGTTTACGGGGGCACTGGAGAAATCAGCAGACCCGTCCGTCCAGATCGACGTTATGAGATATTCACATTCCCTCCTTCCCGCCCCTCCATCGATGCCACGTCAGTGTCGAGACGATACAGATCGCAATATTCGCTACAGGACCCACAGACAATCAGCTGATCGCCGATTAATGAGGCAATGTTTTCCTCTTGTTCTTTTATTCTCAAATATTCTTTTTCCTGCTGCAATCCTTTATCTAGCTTTCTACCCCAAGAGAGTGATAAAGAGGGCTGTTTTTGGTAAAAACAGTGTTTTTCCTAACTGTTGCTTATGAGTGAATACATTTTGAAGAACATCTTCGCTTACTGTAGTCAGCTATTGGCACCAGGACCCACACGTACCCAATGAAACCCATTGTATAGCTCGTCCAAGTACCCCTTTTCCTTCATTTTTCTGGTCTAGTTCTCGTCCAGCCCCTTTTTAACGTTTTTTTCGGAGCCTTTTTACACTTTGGGGACACCGATTCACGCACTTTCTTCGCCTTCATCGCACTATTTTCCACCTTGTCTTCCTTTTTTTGTCATAATCTGAGTTACCAAAGTTATCGTGAGCTGTACCTTTAATGTATAATCAAGATCCTCCCGAGGTCCACTCTGCGATCTTTTAGCAATTTTAACGGTTAAGTTCTAAGCTCTAAAGTCAGTGAAGAGATATTTCAATACATACCTGGAACGTAGCCAGTTGCATACATGCCTCGAGCGAGTAGTCGAGCAAGAATGTCACCAGTATTAGTAATTGGTGGATCGTTTACGTAAACATGTACTGGGCGATCAACTGGTAAAGCCTTTGGCTGCAAAAGGTAAACTTCCTTTCTGAAGGTGGATAACCTCTGTGGAAGAGATTTGACATAACGTTACCATATTCAGGTCGAATGGCTCATATGTTGCACCCATGGTCTTCCACAACCAGTCGGGGAAATACTCATCCAAGCGTTCAGTGTATCTCATTGCCATAATCACATTCGGATAGATTTTGAATTTCTGAGGTTTGTGCCCCCTGCAGATCATTTTGATACTAAAAGTCTCAATAAACGTCTAAATTTTACAAATAGCACGAATTGGTTCTGCCATTTGTGGCCTTGCAATCAGTTGTCGGGCGGGTTTTTGAAAATACAATGCCCATACGAGTGGTACGTATCCTACACTACATACTCGACTACAGAAATTTCTACATGGGAGAAAGGTGACAAAAGCGGGGGCGTTCCGTAAACTGTTTAACACCCACACCAACCTTTCTACTAATACATTTACTTACTCCACCTTTTTATCATGATTGCTATACAAAAAAGCACAATATGAAAGGGCTTTTATACTCCCAGAGAAGCCTGGTACCACTAGCAAACCA